TGAATAACCTTAGCTGGGAGTGTAATCTGGATATATTGGGTCTTATTTCCCTTAAGCGATCTTCCTTTCTCTAAAGCATTTAGTCTGTTTTGTACCCACCTTGTGTTTTGCAGTCCAGTGCTAATCGTACAGTGGCACACCAGGAGTCCTAAATCAATCTTTAGAGATGCTTGTGGTGCTGTGGATTCATGTGCTGAACCGCAAAGTCCGTTTGAACCACAAGGTCAACAATTTAAACTCACCAGCTGCACCTCAGAAATCCTATATAGGTCGTATGGATTGGAACCAACTCCATGGCACCCAACAACAATGACAACAATCATTTGAAGATGAGAATTTATTTTCATGGCCTTGAAATAATTAGATCTGTGAGTGACAGCTGAAGATGGCATAGTGGAACTGATTGATGTTCAAGCCTGGGTACTCAGAGGGGAAGATAAGACTTTTGCAGGGTGTCTGTGAGGTCAATAGTTTTAATTACAATACTAAGAAGTTATTAGTCTCTTCTATTCTAATTTCCTCATGAGTGGAGTTTTCCAGAGGCTGGCTGATGTGTGAGTTTGCAACAGACTGAATGCAAGAGCAGATGAGAACCCAGCTGCTTCCATTAAGTCAGACATGAAAAATATTAAACAATGCCACTCACCAAGTTTGTTTGGGGAAAGTTCTTTTTCTTGTAATTCTTTTAAATTTAATTAGTAAATTTTTAAATTCAAATGCAGTAAATGCGACTAGATATATCCCACATAAACAAAAACTCTTTGGGGTCATCAGTAACTTTTCACTTGTTAAAGGAGTCCTGAACTCCAATACTTCCTCCATATTGTTGTTAAGTGCTGTTAAGTCGGATCCGACCCACAGAGACCCTGTACAGGGTTTCCGAGGCTGTAACTCTTTATGGGAGCAGAAAGCCTCAACTTTCTCCTGCGGAGTGGCTGATAGTTTCGAACTGCTGACCTTAAGGTTCACAGCCCGATTCGTAACCACTACGCTGCCAGAGCTCCTTACCTCCCCGATAGCAGCCAAATTTTTTGTTGTCTACTTCTTCCCTTCTCATGGCCCCTTAGCCAGCATTATGACTTTCCTACTGCCTTTCCTGAAATGCCTCTCCTGAGGCCACTGAAGACTCCTGGCATTCTGTCCAGTGAGCACCCTTCTTTGGTCCTTATTTCCCTTGACATCTTGGCAGCCTGATTGTTGTATGCCCTCCTCCAAGAAGCACCCTCTTACCCTGGTCCTCTGGACGCTCCCTTGGTTCTTCTCCTACCTTTCTAATGCTCCATCTCAACTTTTGCTTTATTCAAAGGATCAGGTCTGGACCCTATTGTCTTCTCTACTTTCAGGGAGACCTCAGTGACTTCTGAGTACTAAGCCAACCTAGCCAGCTGCCTTGTGGTGAACATCTCCATGAACGTCCCTGTGCCACACACAGATAGCCCAAACTTAAACCAGTGCAACACAGATCTCCACCCCATCCTCTCCAACTGCATGACCTCTCCCCTCTCCCTCACTGTCCTCACCTAACCATCTACCACCTCACCTCCTAGACTGCTCTCAAAGCAGCTCGTTCCTTTTTTTTTTTGCAGTTGTCGAGGATTTCCTGTAACTTGGATCCATAATGAACACTCATGGAAGCAGCAGTCAAGAATCAAATGACGTATTGCATTAGGCAAATCCGCTGCAAAAGACTTCTCTAAAATGTTAAATAGCAAAGATGTCACTTTGAGGACTAAAGTACAAAGTGCTCCTGACCCAAGTCATGGCACTTTGGATTGCCTCATAGGCATGCGAAAGCCAGACAAGGAAATGGAAGACTTGAGAAGAATCAATGCCTTTGAATTACCGTGTTGATGAAGAGTTCTAAAAACTATCACAGACTGCCAGAACAACAAACAAATTTATCTTGGAAAAAGCAGTCAGAATGCTCCCCAGAAGTGAGGATGGTGAGACCAGCCAGTTCCTTCTTAAGCAAGTCTCTCCTATGCTCAAAATCCACAGGTAGCTCCCCACTGACCTAGAATACCCATCCCCACCCCCCATCACCAGGCTGGCCACCTGTCCTCTCCCCCATGCTGCTATTCTAGCTGGTCTGGCCTTGCCTCACAACAGGCACACACTGTTCCTTAGCTCTCTGTTCACCAGAGATGTCTTCTTATTCTCTGGGCCTTGGCTGAATTATCGCCTCGTCCAGAGAATTTCCTACAGCCCCCTACCGGAGCCCCTATGTGCTAAACACCCTGTCCTCCCAGCCTGGCACATAGCATACTGATTAATCACCACCAGTTTCTAGACAGTTCTGTAAGGTAGAGGATTCCTTTACTGCTGTACCCTCAGTGCCCAGAATGCTGCTGTTAAGTGCCGTTGAGTCAATTCTGATCCATAGCGACCCTGCATAGGGTTTCTAGGGCTGTAAATCTTTATGGGAGCAGAAAGCCCCATCTTTCTCCCATGAAACCACTGGTAGTTTTGAATTGCTGACCTTGACATTAGCAGCCCGATTCGTAACCACTACGCTACCAGAGCTCCTTCAGTGCCTAGAATAGTGCCTGGCTTATTGTAAAGACCTGCTGAAGAAGACGACCAGTTACCCTCACTACCCCATTCAGTGCTCAATACACAGTAGGCTCAGGTCTGGCTATCTAGACTGACCTTCTAGCCCTGCCCTGGCATGTGAAGCTCAGGAGGCAGCAGTGCCCAGGCCCAGGGCACTCTGCCATCCATGGTGTTGCTGTGACCAGGTTCCCAGACAAACCTGGCTAGACTTCACATTGCTTCCATCACTGGCCAAGGCATCAAAATATGGGCACATGACCCAGCCATGGGTATCCTCCCTGGGCACAGCAGTTACCCAACTTGGTCAAAACATCCTGTTGGGACCACCCAAATCAATCCAGGACACCAGTCACAACAAGAGTAGCAACAACACACAAAACACAGCTACCTCCACACTTGCCTACTGATTGTCCCCTTACTGAATAAATTGATGCTCTGAGGGTTGAATACCTTCCCCAAGGCCATGGGCCAGTAAGGGAAGGGGCTCGGTCACAGTTAGGTTCTTCTGCTGCTTGTTGATGTTGTTAGGTGCCATCAAGTCCGTTCCAACTCATAGCAACCCTGTACAGGGTTAAGGAGCAGCTGATGAGTTTGAATTGCTGACCTTATGGTTCAAACCAACCTTGCAGTCTGCTGCTAGGACCCTATAATCTCAACCTGAACACATTCTGTGGGTCCAGGAAAGGCTGAGCCCACAGAGGGGCCATGCCAGTCTAGTTCAGGGCCAATCTGATACCTGGGGGTCTGTGGTTAGCTGGGGAAAACAGGAAGCCATCTCCCAGGTCTGAATAACTGCTCATAGAGCTGAAAGCATAACCACACAGGCTAAATTCTTCAGGGACCTTATTCACAAGCACCAAGCCACGAGGAGTTCTGGTGTGGTGCTGTAGGATAAACACTGGACAGCTAGCCACAAGATCAGTGGTTCAAACCTACCAGGCCCTCCTTGGAAACCCGATAAAAAGGGTTGCTAAGTCAGAACTACTCTCCAGCACTAAACAAGACATGAAGGGTGCCCACAGGAGTGGCTAACCTGGTGGTTATGCCTGCTCAGTCGCCCCTTCCCTAGGAAGGAGGTAAGTAAGAGACGAGGGAGTTCTTTCACCTCCTTAAGACCTTTCCAGGG